GGGACTCCTGTCACTCGGCAGAACCATGGCACTTGCTGAGATTCAAGTATCAGGAATAGAACAAACACAACAAGGTGCAGCACAAGAAAATCCACGAGAAAATGTTATGGCTGTTGAAATGGGAAGAGGGGCGGGAAAGAAAAGATGCTACAACTACTCCGGTACATTTCCACACCTTGAGGGAATTGTATGCCCAGCACGGGGGAAAAGATGCATCGCTTGTGGAAAACAAGGACATTTTGCCAAATGTTGTCACTCTAAATGGCCACAAAACCGCATTAGAGACAGACATGAAGTGCACTATGTACACACCAGTGGAAGCAGCAACACTACATCCCAAGCAGCAGGTACCGCAGACACAGAGTCCTCGGAGGAATATGTATACACAGTTACCCGACCAAAAACGAATCTCCCACATGCAAAGATAAAGGTTAGTGACTGTAAGATACAAGTGATGCTTGATTCTGGGGCGACTGTAAATATCATTGATGAAGCAACTTATCAGAGACTGAGACATAAGCCCTCACTCACTAAATGCACAGTTCCCATCTTTCCGTATGGTTCAAGCACCCCACTGCCTACCCTGGGAAAATTCACCTCACTGGTGGAATCCAAATCACGATTCACAAACGCAACTTTCCAAGTACTTCAAGGCAGTAACGGCAGTTTACTTGGCTATGACACTGCCAGTCAATTGGGACTAATCAAAGTTGCTAACACACTCCACACAGCTCCAGAACAGCCAGTGCAGTCACTACAGCATATGACAACCTCAAACCAGACAGAGATGGATGCAATAGGTGATCTCCTCACTGAGTATGGTGACCTCTTCTGTGGGATGGGAAAATTAAAAGACTTTCAAGTCAAGCTCCACATAAAGAAAGACGTTCCTCCAGTCACGCAACCTCACAGAAGAGTACCGTTCCATATCAGGAAGCGAATTGAAGCTGAATTGCAACGTTTAGAGGAACTTGACATTATCGAAAAAGTGGACGGGCCCACTCCACGGGTTTCTCCAATTGTTCCTGTTCCAAAGCCAAAAGACCCAGAAGCAGTGCGCATTTGTGTGGACATGAGGATACCAAATCAAGCCATCGAGCGAGAAAGAGATCTCACACCGACAGTAGATGACGTAATACAAGCGCTCAATGGAGCCAGGTTCTTCTCAAAACTGGATTTAAACTGTGGATATCATCAGCTGGAACTGGAGCCATCATCACGATATATCACAACATTCTCCACTCATGTAGGACTGCGACGTTATAAAAGACTGAGTTTCGGAGTTTCCTATTTCAAAACGCCATTCAGCAAGCCCTGGATGGTATCCCAGGAGTCATTAATCTGAGTGATGACATTCTGGTGTTTGGCAGAACGAAGGTTAGTCATGATCAAGCTTTAAGGACAACATTTCAGCGACTTAAGGAGAAGAACCTGACTCTTAACAAGGCCAAATGCTCCTACGCACAAACCACTTTAGACTTCTTCGGCTACACATTCTCAAATGGGGGTTTCTCTCCTGATCCAAAGAAAGTTCAGGCGTTACATGATGCTGCGGCCCCAACCAATGCCAGCAAGGTCCGCAGCCTTCTCGGCATGGCAAATTACAGTGCCCGCTTCATCAAAGATTTTGCCACCATAACTCAACCTTTGAGAGAACTTACAAAAAAACATGTTCGCTGGATTTGGACAGAGAAACATCAGAAGTGCCTTGATGAAATTAAACAAAGTCTAACAAGTGATGCTGGCATGACCTATTTTGACCCTTACAAATTAACTGAACTGGTGGTTGATGCAAGTCCTGTGGGTCTTGGGGCCGTGTTGGCACAGAGAAATGGCCCACATGGACCAGCCAGAGTGATAAGCTATGCAAGCAGAGCCTTGTCACTCATTGAACAAAAGTATTCACTAACCGAACGTGAGGCTCTCGCCATTGTGTGGGGCTGTGAACATTTTTTTTACATGTATCTTTATGGGGCACCATTTACCCTTGTCAGTGACCACAAACCTTTGGAATGGATTTTCAATAACCCCAAATCCAAGCAGCCTGCTCGTATAGAACGTTGGAGTCTACGTCTTCAGCCTTACAACTACACAGTCCGTTACAAGTCTGGCAAGGACAACCCAGCGGATTATATGTCACGCCACCCCACACGTTTCATATGGCTTTCAGGAAGTTTCTAACATTGAACAACAAGTGGAAAAATACGTGAACTTCCTTACTGCAAACGCCGTCCCTAAGGCAATGACATTAACAGAAATTCAGAATGCAACCACAGCTGACCCCACTCCATGCAAAGTCATCCAATTAATCAAAGGAGGCTCATGGGAGTCGCTGTCTGAAAAACAGGATTTTGCTGATGGAGTTGATGGTGCTGCAATTAAATCATTCCATAAAATCAAAGATGAACTGACAGTAACCGCAACTGATGACACTGTACTGCGTGGCACAAAGATCGTTATCCCCCGTTCTTTACAAGTCAGGGCAATATCACTTGCACACGAAGGCCACCAGGGGTTAGTCAAAACAAAGAAACTGATAAGGGAGAAAGTTTGGTTCCCTGGCATTGACAGACAGGTAGAAACCATGATAGCTGAGTGCATCCCATGTCAGGCTGTTGTGCCCAATCACATACAAGATCCTCTCTGCATGTCTGAGCTGCCTTCATCACCATGGGAAAAAGTTGGTGTAGACTTTTGTGGTCCGTTCCCCTCCGGTGATTACCTTTTGGTGGTCATTGATAAATACTCCAGGTATCCAGAGGTGGAGATTCTGCAGTCCACGTCAGCCAGAGCCATAATTCCTAAACTAGACAAAATATTCTCGCCACTGGGAATTCCGCTGGAGGTCAAAACAGATAATGGTCCACCCGTCCAAAGCTCAGAATTAGCAGATTTCGCAACATATCTAGGTTCCAGACATAGGAAGATAACTCCACTCTGGCCTCATGCTAATGCAGAGGCTGAACGTTTTATGCGTACCCTTGAAAAAGCTATACGTGCTACACATGTTGAAGGCCGCCCATGGAAACAGACTCTATACGCATTCCTCCGCAATTACCGTGCCACGCCTCATTGCTCCACTGGAATGGCTCCTGCTGATGTGCTGTTTGGGAGGCCCCTTCGAATCAAGCTACCTGGATCCCCTCTTTCCTTCCAGTCTCTAACAGATGCACCACTACGACAGGCAGATGCCCTGGCAAAGAACAGGATGAAACAAAATGCTGACCGGATGCGCCATGCTGCTCCGGTGGCTCTGAGAGTGGGCGACGTGGTCCTGTGTCGTCAAAATAAGGAAGGAAAGCTATGCCCTGCCTACAATCCCCAGCCATGCAAGGGTATTGCTGTTAAAGGTTCCATGGTGACAGCCAAACGCAATAATCATGTCATCACCAGAAATTCATCTAATTTCAAGACTCTACCAGAAAATGCAAATCACCCCTCTCAGTCGTGTGGTTTGAAGGTCATGAGTGGTGGACGAGATGCCATGAACTGGACTGAAACTCTTCCTGAACAAACCCCAGAAGACTTAGCCCCTGACCCCCCTGGGTCACAGTCACCTGTTCGTAGATACCCAGTCAGGATGAATAGGGGACCCCCATCACACCTCACTGACTTTGAATAATGTGGACAGTTTAGTTAAAAAAAAAACGAAACGAAAGGAGGGTTGTAATGTTTGCGATTTTTACACATGACGTTATGTTTTATTATTTCCACATGTGATGTGTTTTAGTTTGAAAGCAGACATTGTTTATCCAGTCGACAAGGGGGCGTTTTAGTTTCATAGTTGAGTTAAGACTGCGTAAGCAGCGGGGGAGATTTGGAAGTGAGGAAGTTAGCGGTGTAAATAGAAAATGGATTGTAACGGAGATTGAGAAGTTCACTAAAAGGTCTGAAAGCTACTTTGCTGTGTCGGTGTCTTATTCAGAAATTTTACAGTAATAACCTAGAATACTGTCTAACACTTGATGGCTGTTCTGTCAAGTCTTCGTCGTCGGTTAGGAACCTGGGTGTGTGTGTGTGTGCTCTTTGATACCAACCTATCATTTGAAAGTCACGTTTCTAGCATCTGTAAAACCGCATTCTTCCATCTTAAAAATATATCTAAATTATGACATACACTACCGTTCAAAAGTTTGGGGTCGGTACGATTTTAAATACTTTTAAAAGAATTCTCTTCTGCTAACCATGGCTGCGCTTATTTGATTAAAAATACAACAAAAATCAGTTATAGTATTAAATATTATTCCAGTGTAAATCAGCTGTTTTCTGTGTGAATATATAGTAAAGTGTAATTTATTCCTGTGGTCAAAGCTGAATTTTCAGCATCACCAGTGTCAGTGTCTTCAGTGTCAAATGATCCTTCACAAATCAGTATAATATGAGGATTTGATGCTCAAGAAACATTTATTATTATTATCAATGTTGAAACAGTTGTTGGTCTGTCAGTTGTACAGTTTTTTTTTTTTTTTAGGATTCTTTGATGAATAGGAAGTTCAAAAGACTTTTGTCACATTATAAATGTCTTTACTGTCACTTTCGATCAAATTAATTATTCCTTGATAAATAAAAGTATTGATTTCTTTCCTCCAAAAAATAAAAATAAAATTCTCACTGACCCCGAACTTTTGAACGGTAGTGTATGCTTGATTTTCTTCTAGATCTGCTGTAAAGCCAAAACAATCTCTGTTCCATTAATTTCCTGTTATGACTGTAAAGCTGCTTTGAAATCATGTGTATTGTGAAACGCACTATAAGAAGCACATGTGACTTGACTTGAACAAGAAACAGTTTAATCCACTTGGTGTTCATAATTTGTGCCCAAACTCAGCCTGAGACGTATCGCCGTAATGCATTTAGACGGATTCAGTTTTCGGGAGTACATTCAGAAATGTGTTTGTAATAAACTGAACAGAAGGAGAAGAAACACTGATTACACTGCAGCGGGACTCAGTTTACTGTGCACTGCATGGTGTTTGTGTGATTGTGAATTGTTTTTGCACCTCCATCATTTGTCTCGGGCTCTGTCTCCTCCTGTGCAAACTCACTGTTCGAGCACAGCTCCTCATTGGTGGAGCCCCTCTCATCCGACACGAAGGAGATGCAGTCTGATTGGTCGGTTGTCTCAGAGGGGGCATGGCTGCTGCGGGGCGTGTCACTGCGCTTCTGTAACTGTGTGTGGAGAGACTCTATGATCTGATCTTTGTGCTGGAGCTCCTTACTCAACCTGTGGAAGACATGAACATGATCACCTGTGAGCAATAATCTGAGGTGAAGAAATACACACTATAATCCTGAGGAGACACTGACCTCAGCGCTAGCAGCTCGTGACCCGCTTTATCGTCTCGCTGCTCTGAACGATCACCTGACGACAGAGACAGCATGTGATGAAGGACTGGATGACAAGATCAGTAAATCACACAGAACTCAAAGCTTCATCACTGCTGATGCCTGATGTTTCTCTGAAGAGTTTTACTGCACAATCTGAAGCTTTTGCTGCTGAAGATTATTATTATATTAGTGTGTGTGTGTGTGTGTGTGGTGTGTGTACGGACGCTCACGTCCACTGATCTTGCTGCTGACTCTCTGAGCGAGTGAGGAACTCTGGGAAAGCTGCTCTCGGAAGCTCTGGCTCATGTAGTAGTCGATGTCGTTGGCGCGCAGCAGCTCCTCGAAGGCTTTGGTGGTGTCGCTCAGGTGTTGTGTGAGGATGTGGCAGATTCCTCTGCCTTCTCTCATCTTCTGCCTCAGGTGTGACAGCTCCCGCGCCTGGGCCTGGATCAGTGTGTTGTACTTCCTGTACAGACAGTAAGAGGAAAGGTTTGGTGCTTTTATAACAGAGATAAATGCTGTTGCTGCACCCAGAGTCCTGGACGAGCTTGTTCTGAGGAGTGTGTGAGCAGTGTGTGAGCTGTGTGTGTGTGAGACTCACCCAGGCCAGGTGGCACATCTGCCCTCCTCCGGGCTCTTGCTCTGGATCTGTGTCTCCAGCAGTGCCACTCGGGTCACCAGCTCCTGCTTCTCTCGGCTGGGTCTCAGAGGCCCATCAGACTGCCAGCCCTCGTCCTCCTCCAGAGCCTCAAACGCCCAGTTCACCTGAAACACAGAACATGGATGAACACAAACTATTAATCTGAAGGAAACATAGAAGTAAGAGAATGTTGAGTGATATGAAATCAACAATCCATTATACAGTTTAGTGACTGACCAGTCACAGTCAAGTATTCCAGATAAACGTATCGAAGTACACTACCGTTCAAAAGTTTGGGGTCAGTGAGAATTTTATTTTTATTTTTTGGAGGAAAGAAATCAATACTTTTATTTATCAAGGACAGTAAAGACATTTATAATGTTACAAAAGATTCTATTTCAAACAAATGCTGTTCTTTTGAACTTCCTATTCATCAAAGAATCCAAAAAAAAAAAAAAAACTGTACAACTGACAGACCAACAACTGTTTGAACATTGATAATAATAATAAATGTTTCTTGAGCATCAAATCCTCATATTATACTGATTTGTGAAGGATCATTTGACACTGAAGACACTGACACTGACTGGTGATGCTGAAAATTCAGCTTTGACCACAGGAATAAATTACACTTTACTATATATTCACACAGAAAACAGCTGATTTACACTGGAATAGTATTTAATACTATAACTGATTTTTGTTGTATTTTTAATCAAATAAGCGCAGCCATGGTTAGCAGAAGAGAATTCTTTTAAAAGTATTTAAAATCGTACCGACCCCAAACTTTTGAACAGTAGTGTATAATTTGATCTAACTCTGAACAAGGTGTCTATTCAGTAACAGCTAGCGCTACCTTGCATGCCGTCAGTACAGTAACAGATGGCGTTACCTTGAGCGGCGTCAGTACAGTAACAGATGGCATTACCTTGTGCGGCGTCAGTACAGTAACAGATGGCGCTACCTTGCATGCCGTCAGTACAGTAACAGATGGCGTTACCTTGTGTGGCGTCAGTACAGTAACAGATGGCGCTACCTTGCATGCCGTCAGTACAGTAACAGATGGCGTTACCTTGAGCGGCGTCAGTACAGTAACAGATGGCGTTACCTTGTGCGGCGTCAGTACAGTAACAGATGGCGTTACCTTGAGCGGCGTCAGTACAGTAACAGATGGCATTACCTTGTGTGGCGTCAGTACAGTAACAGATGGCGCTACCTTGCATGCCGTCAGTACAGTAACAGATGGCGTTACCTTGTGTGGCGTCAGTACAGTAACAGATGGCGCTACCTTGCATGCCGTCAGTACAGTAACAGATGGCGTTACCTTGAGCGGCGTCAGTACAGTAACAGATGGCATTACCTTGTGTGGCGTCAGTACAGTAACAGATGGCGTTACCTTGAGCGGCGTCAGTACAATAACAGATGGCGTTACCTTGTGCGGCGTCAGTACAGTAACAGATGGCGTTACCTTGAGCGGCGTCAGTACAGTAACAGATGGCGTTACCTTGTGCGGCGTCAGTACAGTGAGTAACAGATGGCGTTACCTTGTGCGGCGTCAGTACAGTAACAGATGGCGTTACCTTGTGCGGCGTCAGTACAGTAACAGATGGCGTTACCTTGTGTGGCGTCAGTACAGTAACAGATGGCGCTACCTTGCATGCCGTCAGTACAGTAACAGATGGCGTTACCTTGAGCGGCGTCAGTACAGTAACAGATGGCATTACCTTGTGTGGCGTCAGTACAGTAACAGATGGCGTTACCTTGAGCGGCGTCAGTACAATAACAGATGGCGTTACCTTGTGCGGCGTCAGTACAGTAACAGATGGCGTTACCTTGTGCGGCGTCAGTACAGTAACAGATGGCGTTACCTTGTGCGGCGTCAGTACAGTAACAGATGGCGTTACCTTGAGCGGCGTCAGTACAGTAACAGATGGCGTTACCTTGAGCGGCGTCAGTACAGTAACAGATGGCGTTACCTTGTGCGGCGTCAGTACAGTAACAGATGGCATTACCTTGTGCGGCGTCAGTACAGTAACAGATGGCGTTACCTTGAGCGGCGTCAGTACAGTAACAGATGGCGTTACCTTGTGCGGCGTCAGTACAGTAACAGATGGCGTTACCTTTAGCGGCGTCAGTACAGTTACCGAATGGCGTTACCTTGTGCGGCGTCAGTACAGTAACAGATGGCGTTACCTTGTGCGGCGTCAGTACAGTAACAGATGGCGTTACCTTGTGCGGCGTCAGTACAGTAACAGATGGCGTTACCTTGAGCGGCGTCAGTACAGTAACAGATGGCGTTACCTTGAGCGGCGTCAGTACAGTAACAGATGGCGTTACCTTGTGTGGCGTCAGTACAATAACAGATGGCGTTACCTTGAGCGGCGTCAGTACAGTAACAGATGGCGTTACCTTGTGCGGCGTCAGTACAGTAACAGATGGCGTTACCTTGTGCGGCGTCAGTACAGTAACAGATGGCGTTACCTTGTGTGGCGTCAGTACAGTAACAGATGGCGTTACCTTGTGTGGCGTCAGTACAGTAACAGATGGTGTTACCTTGTGTGGCGTCAGTACAGTAGCAGATGGCGTTACCTTGTGTGGCGTCAGTCCAGTAACAGATGGCGTTACCTTGTGTGGCGTCAGTACAGTAACAGATGGCGTTACCTTGTGTGGCGTCAGTACAGTAACAGATGGCGTTACCTTGTCTGGCGTCAGTACAGTAACAGATGGCATTGTGACGTCAGTACAGTAACAGATGGCGTTACCTTGTGCGGCGTCAGTACAGTAACAGATGGCGTTACCTTGTGTGGCGTCTGTACAATAACAGATGGCGTTACCTTGCGCGGCGTCAGTACAGTAACAGATGGCGTTACCTTGCATGGCGTCAGTAAAGTAATAGATGACATTGCGACGTCAGTATAGTAATAGATGGCGTTACCTTGCGGGGCGTGCGCTCCAGGCTGGAGGCGTAGTCGGAGGTGGTCGAGAACGAGCGCATGCGCAGCTGCAGGCCGCGGATCACTTTGTGGCAGCGAGAGAGTTGCGCGCGCAGGTCCTGCACCAAACACTTTAGTGAGGACGGGTCGTCGGTCTGAGCGGCATCGCTGTCGCCATGCCAACCGCAGCGTTGGTTCCCCGTCACCGAGAGAGAGCCGCACATCTCCAACTCATCAAACTCTGACAGACAGATGGAGGACAGGAAAACAAACACGTCAAGACATGCGGCAGATCTTTCGCTAGTTTTATCCAGTGCTAAACGTCTGAGACTGAGAGAAACCATATCAACTGCGTCACAGAGGCATCCAGTAATATGAGCACATGGGATTTTGTTAAATGTGAAACCTTATAAACATAGTTTTAGGATTTTGAAAACTCTACATTTAGTTGACTAATCAAATGTGAGACTGATCGTTTGACTCTGATCAGATCATGGAGCTCCAGTGTTCATTAAGGCACAAGTCCTTCTTCATTTTTCCATTAGATGTTTCATTCAGATTGTCATGCTGATAATATAATTTGTAATGAAAAGGTTTGACAGAAGCACTAGTGTAGTGTGTGTGTACCGGGGCTGCTGGCCTCCTCTCGCTCCGCTTCATTCTCACTGCGGCCACTCGTCTCGTATCCCAGATCCTGAAGATCTACCTGTACCTGCTTGCTGTCCCGCTGGACGGCGCTCTCCGCTGACAGAGAACAGATCAGACAGAGAACAGATCAGACAGAGACCAGATCAGACAGACAACAGATCAGACAGAGGACAGATCAGACAGAGAACAGAACAGACAGAGAACAGATCTGACAAAGAACAGATCAGACAGAGAACAGATCAGACAGAGAACAGATCAGACAGAGAACAGATCAGACAGAGAACAGATCAGACAAAGAACAGATCAGACAGAGAACAGATCAGACAGAGACAAGATCAGACAGACAACAGATCAGACAGAGACCAGATCAGACAGAGAACAGATCAGACAGAGAACAGATCAGACAGAGAACAGATCAGACAGAGACAAGATCAGACAGACAACAGATCAG